CGCTTCTTTAATAAAAAAGAAATTAAAAAAAACAACAAAAAAACAAAAAAAAAAACAACACACAAAAACCAACAAATAGGCCGAAACTTGGGCGGGTCAATTTAAATAGATTTATATCTATGTGAACGCTAGTGATACATACACATTTTGAATTGTTTATTTCTTTATGAAGTTTATGCCTGGTTATTATTACTAATTTTTTTTTTTAATTTAATTTTTTAAGTACCGATAACTTACAAGAAAAGGTGGACAAACTGTCAAAGCAAGGTGTGTGCTGTTAACAAAAAGGACAAACATTTCAACTTGTCTAGAAAAAAAAAATTGTAGTAATCCTCCTTGAAAGATTTTTCTTAAAATTATTATATTGATATCAACCAAAGTGAAAATTTGTTTATGGGTTTCTTTGTATTCACCACAAAATCTTTTATCTGGATGTATGGATCTTGACCACACTTGTCACATGTATCCATCATTATCTGAAATGAACACTTGGGGGGGGGGGAGTGTGTGTGTTATGAACTTTTTACAAAATTCAGTTTTAGGCCGAGGCCCCAAATTCGTTTTTCTACTCATTTGAGCCAAATAAGTAAAATTACCAAAAATACTCCTACATGAATAGATGAATCTTGACCAAACTTTGTACACATACACTGGATTATCCATGTTTAAATACCGAAGGGTTCTTAAATTCTGATAAACTTTCCAATTGGGCACGGGGACCCATTTCATTTTTCCTAATATACGCTTTGTAAATATCAATAAACTTAGACAACACTATAGCTTCTATGTGCATTGATGGATCTAGGCCTAGCACGGTAGCAATGCACTTTTGGTCCTTATTTTAATATCAGTGGACTAAAAAAATCTAATTTAGAATTTTCAAGAAAGTTCAATAATTGTTAAATGCTATGTCTATGGTATTTTTAAGCCGATTTTAATTGGATAAGTTTAAATTTTAACTTCATTATTTCTTAACTATTTATATAGGGCTCCCATATCAGACATAATAAAATCATTACACTTCTAGAATGGGCCTCTGTTGGTTTCCCTCTGTCAACGGAGATGTTCTTTAGTTATACTAGTAAATTGATTTGCAAAGTTTTTCGTATTAAAAGAATAATTACGTAGAAATGTAATTTTACATGTTTCGATGAAGAAATTAAATTTAATAAAGAATATTCCAAAAGGTTCTTTAAATCTACCGGTATATACAATGGGATCTAATGTATTTGTAAATGTTGACCAGATCCAACAGTAAATTAAACTGACCGGTAACGCAATCACATTCGGTCACGGGATCAAACCGTGGTCGGGATCCTTTCAGGAAGCAGGATCCTATCAGAGAAGAGGATGTCACCGAGAAACTGGATCCTAACGGGATTGAGATCCTAGAGGGATCGAAATGCTATCAGTGAACTGGATCCTAACGGGATTGAGATCCTAGAGGGATCGAAATGCCATCAGTAAACTGGATCCTACTGAGATAGGCAACACAACGGTATCGGGATCCCACTGGGATCAAGAAAACACAAAGATCGAAATACCGACGGGATAAGGATCCCACTGGAATCGGGTCTATCAAGAAGCTCCTTCCTGCAGGGATTGGGATCAACTGGGATCAAGATACCACTGGGATCAGAACACGTAAAGGATCGAGATCCCACCGGAAACAGAATACGAACGGAATTGAGATCCCAGATGGATCATGATCCCATCGGGAAATTCGATTCGATCGGGTTTCGGGATCTTACCAAGTCGGGATTGGACCGGCATCTGTATACAATCTTGATCCTGAACCCACCGGTATCGGGATGCCGCAGGGATCGGGATAACTCTGGGATCAGATTGTCGACAAGATAAGGATACAAATATGATCGACATGCAAAGGTGATTGGGATCGTACGGGGGAAGGATCCAAACGGGTTTGGTATTTAAACGAAATTGGGATCCTAACGGGGTCGAGATCATTCAGGGGTCAGGATACCGTTGGAAAACGGGATCGCATCGAGTAACGGGATCAGATTGGGATCTTCCTAGATAGGGATGCCGCAGGGAAACGAACGATTTTTAAACTTTAATAGAAATGTCTTTTTATAGGAGACAAAAATTATTTTTTAAATTAAGTTTATTTTTTTTTTCAAATCTTGACCCAAATGTGATGGAAATTATCGCCCCATCTCAAATCTAACATATATTTCTAAATACTTAGAAAAAGTCGTTCTCCGCCAACTCGTGGATCACCTCACTCAGTTTGACTTGTTTGAACCATTCCAGTCAGCATACAGGGCGCATCACTCTACTGAGACAGCCCTGTTGCGCGTCGTAAACGACCTTCTATCGTCTTGTGTTGAGGGCCAGGATCGATTTTGTCTTTACTCGATTTATCGGCAACTTTCGATACGCTCGACCACGGCATACTGCTCCAGCGTCTGCAACAAACGTTCGGTCTCACTGATACCGTCCTGTGTTGGTTCCGATCGTATCTGACGAATCGGGTGCAGTCAGTTATTTCAAACGGCTTGACCTCAAATAAATCTAATATCGAATGCGGAGTACCCCAGGGCTCGGTCCTAGGCCCGTGCTTTTCACGATGTACATTCATCCCCTGGGTGCAGAGATCAGGCAGTTTGACATGTTGTATCACATGTTCGCGGACGATACCCAACTTCATCAATCCGTGATCTCTTCTCAGTTCCCTCAGCTGCTCAGTATGACACAGAAGACAATGGAGTCGGTTAAGCGCTGGATGACCATAAACAAGCTCAAATTAAATGATGATAAGACTGAGCTGCTCCCCATCGCGACCGTTCAGAAGCAAAAATCTGCACATAACACGACATCCATTACTCTCTCAGGTGTGCGTATTGAGTTAGCTAAAACAGTGCGGTACCTGTGTGTCTACCCATATAGAAGACTAACTTTTGAAAGTCATATTAACATGCTATGCAAGGCGATTTTTCTGGAGCTGCGCAGGATTAGTCACATCAGGCCCTTCTTAACAATTGATGCAACAAAGAGGCTGATGTCTGCATTTGTGCTATCAAGCGTGGACTATCATGGTGGGTCTTCCAGCTACGCTCCTGGATAAAATTCAAATAGCACAGAATAATGCGGCTCGCATTGTTCTCCGCAAACGCAAGTTCGACCATGCAAAAACACTTCTGAGAGAACTGCACTTGTGCTACTGCTGCTTACATGACCTGGCGCCGTCCTATCTGAAAGAGCTGCTGACGCCTTATGTACCCACTAGAGAGCTCCGCTCATCCAAAAGTGGCAAACTCTCGACACCACGTGTTTCTCTTGAGACTTACGGAAAGCGCACTTTCGCATTTGCTGGTTCAACAATTTGGAACGCCCTTCCTGTCGATCTCAGAAACAACCAGACACTGGAGTCCTTTAAAACCGATTTTAAGACACATCTATTTCGCAAACACCTTCTGGGATGATTGTCTACCTTATTTTCCAGTTAATGCATAATGGCTGTGTTGCTTATGGTTGAAATGGCTAGAAAGACTTTGACATTGTATGCTTGTAATTAATTTTTGTAGTCTTGCGTTTGTTTTAAATGTGGTAAATTATAGATTTGTTTTTTGTTGACTTTGTACCGCACTTCAAGCCTTTGGGGATGAAGCGTGTTTTTTAAATGAACTTTATTATTATTATTATCCACTCAAACCTGAGGGCTCACTTCACATCCAGTATCCACTCAAACCCGTGGGCTCTCTTCACATCCAGTATCCACTCGAAGTCGTTGGCTCCCTTCAAATCAAGTATCCACTCAAACCTGTGGGCTTTGTTCACATTCAGTATCCACTCAAACCTGTGGGCTCTCTTCACATCCAGTATCCACTCAAACCTGTGAGGTCTCTTAAGATCCAGAATCCACTCAAACTTATGGGCTCTCTTCACATCCTGTATCCACTGAAACCTGTGGGCTCTCTTCACATCCAGTATCCACTCAAACCCGTGGGATCTCTTCACATCCAGTATCCACTCAAACTTGTGAGGTCTCTTAAGATCCAGAATCCACTCAAACGTATAGGCTCTCTTCACATCCTGTATCCACTCAAACATGTGGGCTCTCTTCACATCCAGTATCCACTCTAAGTCGTAGGCTCCCTTCACATCAAGTATCCACTCAAACCCGTGGCCCCCTAATCTGTTGTGGTGAACACAGACTTTTAGAGCGCGCACTTAAAATTCTACGTAAGCGAATATTTATATTTTTATAAAATCATATTTCTTTCTTATTATTTTTCCATCTGTCCCATCAAGAAAAATTTGACTGTCGGAAAATTATGTTTTTCAATAAATCCTTTTGCGTGGTAATGTAATGTATCATTTTGTCTTGGGATGTACCTCAGTTAACTTTGGGCGCGGAGCCATAGAATTTATTTCATTTTATTGCGATCTAAATTGTGTGTACAATTATCCTAGAAATATGCCAAGCACAAAATGTATCGCGTACACAGCACACAAAAATATAAATGTGGGCATATAGCAGCGAGAGGTATTTTGTGTAGAATACAAGTTTTATTTAACATGTATGGACATAATATATATTTAAAAAAAAATAATAATACGTTATTCGAAGGCTGCTACTAAGCGGCTTTAATAAGGATCATTGAAATAGTTTAAAAACATCACCGTGATCGGTAAGCTGAGTGTAATTATGGAGTGTCTATTAAAAGATGTGGTAGGCTAGAGCCTGTCTATTTTCAATTAGTCCAACTTTACTTTTAAAAAAAATGTTTTCACATCTTTACAGTAAAGAAGAAATAGTTTATTTAAACAAAATAAAAGTGAAACTTATTTTTTTGTCTTTAAAAAATCATTTAAAAAATACAAGTTCAACAACACAGGTCACGTTTAAAATTAATCAATGGGATAGGAATATCAATACTCTTAAAAAAATTATGATAAAACCTACAATTCATTGGAAAAACTCGAAAAGTTTCTATACGGCCATACTTTTTATGACGCAATATCACTTCCGGTGACATTGAACATCGCTCATCCCCTAAAGCAAACATGGCGACGGCAGCCTTGTCTGTTGACAGTCGCCGGCTTTAAACTATTTATTTCAGACCTCTGCAGTCGCAACTTGCACACTAATCTTTATACCTACACCACGCGCATCTCACGTCCCAGTGCACCGCAGCTGCCATGTCCAGAAAAACGGACGCCACAGGGTCCCAGAGCTTGTCCTCTGGCAGCAGCGAGCCTGTCAAGTCCCACAGGACGACGATACAGAGCGGTCGTATAGCCATGGTGGCGATGGACTCGACCACCGCGCCCTTGACGGACGAGGCGATGAGCTCCAACTATCACACGGCGTTCACGACCGGGTCGGAGATGACGTATCCGTGCGGGACAGAGGTGGAGGACAATGTGGACGGCAGGAGCGACACGGTGGAGTCGGCGACGACGAAATGTATCAAGGAGGTTATGAGACAACGAAAGGTCAGTTGGGGGTCACACGTCAGAAACTGGCTATCCGTTGTGGCGTAGGAATGGAGAGGGTGGTCCGTCTCTGGCGGCACATTTCACATTTCTCTTATATTTAGGGGCTGCATTTTCGTTCAACTGCAGATGATTTTCTGCTTGGAAGAAGGTGTTAGAAAGCTTGACCCATGCTGACGGAACTAACCCAAGCTGCGGCACTGTTTGGGGGTGGGGGGAGAATCTTTTTTAAAGTTGTTTTCGCGGGAAGCAAGATGGTGATTGACAGAGTTAAATAGTGATGCCATTTCATATTTTAAATTATCTATAAATCTCTTTTAGTTTCAGTGTTGTAATTATTGAGTGTACAAAAAAAAAAGAGGCTAAAGTAGACAATTCGCTCAATGACGTCATGAATGTGTTTATTTACCTCAATAGGTTTAGGTTTCAGGTTAGGTAAAGGGATATGTTTAGGGTTATGGGTTAGGTTTAAGGATAGGTTTAGCGTGACCTTTCATGGGTCGTGGCAATCAAAATTGCGGCTGTGGCACGGATTGTCTGAATTTACCAAAAATAATAATTTATAAAGAATTTGATGTAGGCAGCGAAATTTTCGGACGAGATCCCACGTTTGACCATGACATGTAGATATTACTGTGGTCAAAATTCAGAGACTGCAACATGGCTTATTATATTATGATGAAATGACTAAGATTTAAATATTAAGTTGTGATTCCCTTTTTTTTTTAAAGTCAAAGACAAGACGATAGCCTGTAAGGTTTCATTCGATGATCACTTTTCCTTTTGTCCAACCAACATCCTCAGATGATGCGACGCATCCCACTGATCACCCTGGGCACCACCACGACCTTCGTGGCCTTCATCATCGTCGTCGCCTTTATATGGTCAGCGCGACACACGGCGGCGACAGCCTAGCGCCCTGGTACACAGTCCACCAGCCACCAGAGGTCGGGTTCCTCAGCGTGCAGGCAGAGTCGGTTACAGGCTAACAATTTCAGCTTGGTTGTGCCCACTAAAAGCCATCCATCTCAAACGTGGACCAATCATCAACTGGTCAGACTGAAACATTCCCACCAAGCATGATTAAATCATCTCATGCTTAGATTGAAACTTTCTCCCAAGCATGGACCATCAGCAAATGATCAGATTGAAACTGTCGTCCAAGCACGGTCCATTAGAATATTGTCAGACTGAAACTTTCTTCCAAGCATACTCCATTAGAATATGGTGGGATGAAATTTTCTCACAAGCACGGTCCATCAGAATATGGTCAGATTGAAACTTTCTCCGAAGTTTTGATCTTCCAACCAATGTTGATGACCTGATGCAACGCTCTGATTTTAGTATCTTGAACATTACACCTGACCACATTATACTTAACCACATGACACTTGACAACTTTTCTACTGAAATAGTTTGAAAGTGCATACATATTTACACATTCATGAAACATTCTCTCCAAGCAATGTCAAAATTTAAATCTTATGTCGAGTTTCTTTAGGGGAGGAGAATATTATGTATATCAAATTTTATAGACACTCGGTTATTGGGATAGTGGTCTACGGAAGCCACTAGAGGCTTAGCGGGTGTACACTTGCATGAAAAATTTATGATTTGGTTGAAATGATCTCTTAACATCCAGGATTAGAATTTATTTAATTATTAGCGTGTCTCATATTTGATTTTAACTTTAGAAAAATGATGATAAAAAAATAACAAATCAAAACAGAAAAATGTGTGTGTCTTAAAAGCTGAAAATCTAGTGTAATAAACATTGCTAAACATGACAGGAGTTTGTTGTCATGTGTTGCTACTAAGGGATGGAAAGAATCGGGAGAGCGTTAAAAGTGGAGGGTTGGAAGGTGCGACGTTTATGGTGATGGAGTGGAGTGGAGTGGTGTTTAATGTGATGGGAGGGAGGGGAGTGGTGTTTAATGTGATGGGATGGAAGAGAGTGGTGTTTAATGTGATGGGACGGAGGGGAGTGGTGTTTAATGGGATGGGAGGGAAGGGAGTGGTGTTTAATGTGATGGGATGGATGAGAGCGGTGTTTCATGTGATGGGACGGAGGGGAGTGGTGTTTAATGTGATGGGATGGAGGGGAGTGGTGTTTAATGTGATAGTATGAAGGGGAGTGGTGTTTAATGTGATGGGATGGAGGAGAGTGGTGTTTAATGGGATGGGATGGAGAAGAGTGGTGTTTAATTGGATGGGATGGAGGAGAATGGTGTTTAATAGGATGGGAGGGAGGGTAGTGGTGTTTAATGTGATGGGATGGAGGAGAGTGGTGTTTAATGGGATGGGACGGAGGGGAGTGGTGTTTAATGTGATGGGATGGAGGGGAGTGGTGTTTAATGCGATAGTATGAAGGGGAGTGGTGTTTAATGTGTAGGGATGGAGGAGAGTGGTGTTTAATTGGATGGGATGGAGGAGAGTGATGTTTAAGGGGATGGGATTGAGGAGAATGGTGTTTAATGGGATGGGATGGAGGAGAATGGTGTTTAATGGGATGGGATGGAGGAGAGTGGTGTTTAATGGGATGGGATGGAGGAGAGTGGTGTTTAATGGGATGGGCTGGAGGAGAGTGGTGTTTAATGGGATGGGATGGAGTGGAGTGGTGTTTAATGGGATGGGATGGAGGGGAGTGGTGTTTATTTGGATTTGGGTGGGGGGGGTGGCTTCACTTTAATTAACTTAAATCGGAATGAATTCAGTTCCTGGGTGACATTATGATTATGGCTAATTTGGCACTGACAGATACCTTGAGCCCCCCCCCCCCCCCCCCCCCCCCCCCCCCCCCCCCCCCCCACCCCCCTGGTGGGGGGGGTGGCTTCACTTTAATTAACTTAAATCGGAATGAATTCAGTTCCTGGGTGACATTATGATTATGGCTAATTTGGCACTGACAGATACCTTGAGCCCCCCCCCCCCCAACTCTCTCCCCCAACCCCCTCGACACGAATGCCGGATATTTCATCCTAACTTCGGAATAAATTGTTTAACAGAAACACTCGAGTCCACAATCATTTAGAATCAATTGAAAAAGTGGAGGGCCAATAAAAGTGAATCGTTGGGTAAATTTAAGTGAGTTTTGGGTCCAATGAAAGGGAATATTTTTATTTTTTTTGGTGGTGGTGGAAGTGGAGGAGAACAAATATGTAATAATTTGGGTGTTTTAAAAGCAGATGATGTCCTTTTTTTATATGGTAGGTCACACACGCCAAGCTGACCCCACCACAACATCAGCCATGGATCAAGGGATTAACACTGCCACCACCCCCCCCCCTCTGGTTTTATTCAGCTCTGAGTGTTTGTACTCAATAGTTATGCATGGGTTTAGAGTTGGAGACTTTATGGAGACCGTAACATCGTTACAGCTATTTTGAGGCACACCGTGCACGACCAAATGTTGCGTCCACGTTACTGAATTTATGTTTGGCAAGCCTGAACTTTTCACACAACAGCTATATGTGCTCGAATGACGTCATTGCATTTTACGGGTTAAAATAGTTGGGCTTATTTCATAAATGAGTAATTCAAGTTTAAATCTTGTGTTTTATGCAAGAAACACTCCACACAAAACAACAACAACAACAAAAACTAAAAGAAAAAACTAACACACAAAAAAACCCAAACTCAAAACAACAACAACAAAAAACAACTAAAAGACAAAAACTAACACACACACACAAATCAAACTCAAATAAACAACAACAAAAAAAACAAAACAAAAAAAACAAAAAAAATAAATTCAAAAAAAAAAATAATAAAAAAAATAAAAATAAAATAAAAAGATCATCAGCAGTGTCCAATCAAAACCGAGCAATTAAAAAATCATGTTGCTTTATTTCTTTTGTTAAACATCTGAGAGCGATGCAGCGTCAATAAAATACACAAGTGTGCGTCGTAACATACGCTGACACACTACATGATGGATCATTTATAATTGTGTAAAGCAAGAATAAAACAAAGTAAAATTGTGCTGCAACATTCCTATGTATATGTAATACATGAATATGACACAAACGATGGATATGATGCACAAATACGTGGTGAATCATTTTGTAACAGTACGCACTCTGTTATATGTGGTACAACATTAATAAATATAAATTACAGTATGAGGTATAACATAAATACGATATGTTCAAAAATCTGTTGTAAGCTGTTTATATCACACACACATGTGGTTGGATTAATGCATGGTGTCGTATGGAATAATGGATGATGTATGTTGTTGTTGTTTTTTTATAGGTGAGGTGTATTTGGAAATTATTCAGGGCTTGGAGCAGCGTTTCCCAAACTCTTAATTTTGGGGGGCCCGGTGGACGCGTTTTGAAATTTCACCAGGGACCGCTGCCAGATTTATAAATGACATTTTCTTATTATTCAACCATAAATATTGATGATGTTGTGCGGACCACCATTTGAGAAACACTGGCCTGTAAGGTTGAAACTCTGAAAGTTCCGATAACTTTGAACGCAAAGTTGTCGAAAGACATAATCAGACAGTCAATTGAACTGCATCATTTATAACACGGTACAGAAGCTTCGGTAGGGCGGGTGAGTTTTAGACTCGTACCTTCACCAACTTAACCCAGCATAATATAGTTTAAACGTTCATATCCCTCTATGCTAGACAACCTAGCAAACTAGATCCACTGGCGTAACTACAGAGGCGTTTCGTGGGAGAGTGAGGAACGGGGGCAATGGTCCCGGTTTGAAAATTGTTGTGGGGAAAGATGGAACATTTAAAAAAATTAATAAATATAAGCATGCAAAATAATTTCTTTTACAAAACATGAGCTCGTGAGGATAAGCCACCATTTTTTAAAAAGCCCCCCCCCTCCACTCCTTATGCCCCACCTTCTTAACAACTTACAGAAAGTCACTGCGAAACTTCATAATGTATTTAAGATGAATATTATAATCAGATATATTATGTCATTATCTGTTGCGCTCGATAAAAGGCTAATTCACATTCAATATTTGACCTTGAAAAGAAACTCTTACAATCCGAGGAGATGAAAATTCAAACCAGTGCTTCCAGTGTGTGACAATGCAGCCAGCCTTTTGACAATGCAGCCAGCCATTTGTCAATGCAGCCACCCTTTTAACAATGCAGTCACCCTTTTGACAATGCAGCCAGCCTTTTGACAATGCAGCCAGCCTTTTGACAATGCAGCCAGCCTTTTGACAATGCAGCCAGCCTTTTGACAATGCAGCCAGCCTTTTGACAATGCAGCCAGCCTATTGACAATGCAGCCAGCCTTTTGACAATGAAGCCAGCCCTTTGAC